GACCTACTGTACTATTTTAACAGGGCATGTAGTCATCAAATGATTAGGCTGAATAACCACACGTTATTTGGGAGGAAAAGAACAAGTGAACTGTTGTTCATTAGACATTTTAACAGAGGTGGACTGTTTTACTTTAATTGTTTCCTTTTAGAAATAGATTTTCATTAATACTCAGTCAAAGCTGTGAGTACATGTCAGTTTAGACGAGACCATGAACAGCCAGAATTACCTTCATGATTCATATTCATAGAGAAAACAAGGTGGTCCAATCTGATACAAAAGTTGCAGAATAGTTTAGGGAAATGTTCCTCTTAGATAGAATGTTTTTATTAGTAGAAATAACTTGTGTTTACTTTCTATTTTTATTTGTTTCTTCCATACATCAATTATCGTAACCTTTTATTCCCTAATGGGGTCGAGGGGGAACTGAAGCCTATCCCAGTAGCCAATGGGGAGAGGCATGGTTGTAAAAGGTCTTTCACAGAGAGTCAGACCAGCTTCACTTACTTTCAGGAACTACAGGCTGACATCACAAAATCTTTGCTCTCTGCACTCTGGTTAGAATCCAACAAACAATGTCCTTTGGGATCAATGATGTATCAAGTAAAGTTGAGTCGTTTCAAAGTCCTGCCTCCTCCTGCATGTTAGCATTAGGTATCCTTCTGCATCTTTGTTCATCATGTATACTGGAGAGTTATTGGTGGAACAGTGAAAAAAATTAATCAGTGTTTGTTTCAGAAACAGGAGCAAATGCAAATCCAGGTCCAGGGTTCAAGTCCCTGTTAAGGCTGATGAAGCTCACAGAGAATTTCACATGCAATTTTAGTGTTCCTGCTCTGTTGCCGTGATAACTTCTACCATCATCATTAGTATTAATATCATTGCCATTTTTCATTTAGTCTACGTGTTGCTGTGTTGGCTGCTCTCTGCTCCCTCTGTCCTTCTCTCTCTCTCTCTCTCTCTCTCTCTCTTGCCCTCTCTCTCTTGCTCTCTCTTTCCCCTCACCCCCAACCGGCCGAGGCCGATGGCCGCCCACCCTGAGCCATGGTTCTGCTCCAGGTTTCTGCCTGTTAAAAGGAAGTTTTTCCTTGCCTGTGTCGCCTAGTGCTTGCTCATGGTGGGAATTGGTGGGTTTCTGTAATTAACTTCAGAGTAGGGTCTGACCTGCTCTGTTTGGAAAGCGCTGTGAGACAACTGTTGTTGAGATGTGGCGCTATATAAATGAAATTGAATTGAATTGATTTAATTTTAATTTTGTAATGTCATTGTCTGAACGTGTGTTTGGACTACAGTACGAGATGGAGCTGCAGCAGTTCACAGCTTAATTAACTTTTTGTGGCCACATTTTAGGTTGTGCAAAAGTCCCCGAGTGGCCGTAGAGCCCCCACCAGCCTCCATTGTCAGGGTTTGGGCCCCTCACCACAGCTTCAGCTCTCTCGAAAGGCAGGGGTCGACCTCCCTGAGAGCCTCTATCAGAGTTTTGCTGCTTTCATGTCCCTTCCTCATCACAGTTTCAATCACATCTCGAGCTTTCTCTGCTCTGGGCTTCATCTTTGCTGTCTGTATCTATCTCCTCATTAATCATAGCACCGTGCTGAAGGAGTTTATCCAGCAGCTGGTTCAGCACAGAATCAGAGACTCCATTAATGAACTGCACCCGGACAGCAGACAGTCTGTCCTTTGCTTGGAGTCCTGGGAAATCCCTCTATGAAGATTCCCGTCTGGGACCTTAAAGAAAAGCAGAGAAATGAAGATCAAAATCTAAAGTCAAACAGCTATTGGCTGGTGGTTTAAACATGATATCAGGCTGACATGTTTTAGGCATAAAGACTCTGATCTGACTCTGGGTGGATTAGAGGAGTGACACCAGACAGTCTGACCCCGAATGGCTTTTCTCCTCAAACACCGTTCAAACATGCAAACACAAGAGTTTGAGCTTTTGATTATTTGTGTTAATCCAGAGGTTTTAAGACTAAATCCCAGGTAAAGAATGCTGGAGTTTGATTGGACTCAGACCTGAACTTCAGCAGTTACATCAAAGCTGAAGCTAAGACAGCTTTTTCCCTCTTCAAACTGCCCAATTAGAGTTATATCCTGTTTGTGATCCTTTCCTCTGCCCTCCAGAATCAAAGTCCAGTCCCCACCCATCCCTCTTCCTGAAGGCTGGACTTTTTTGACATAAAGCCTCCACAGTGTGTGCCATCTAATGACCCCGAGCGGCACAGACTCCCCCCGTTAATGCTGGTTGTGGACAGGCACTCACAGCTTTTGTCTCTGGAGGATTTCTTCGTCCAGCCATGAAAACTGTGGAGCAAACACAAGCAAACGGAGAGAGAGAGAGAGAGAGAGAGATACAGTCAGTCACCGTCCTATCATTCCCTCCGGAATAACCAGTTTATCTTAAAAGACACATCAAAGTTAAGTAGACAGTGAAGAAGAATAAACTTCAGACAGGAAACAACCCAAAATAAAACATTTGAGTCTCTTTGTGTGATAAAAAAAAGCTATCTCAGTCATCCATAAGAGCTGAGCATGACCACCAGGGGGCGCCGAGAGCAATTACAGGCAGAGTGGATCATTTCGCTCCTCATTTCTTTGCATATATGAGTGATAATTCCTATCATCAAAGGCAAAACACCTTTGTGCAAACTTAAATCTGTGGTCTGTTTTTCTATGTTCATTAACAATATAACAGACAAATAGTCTAGTGTTCCAATATAGTTTCCCAGAGACACATCAGAAGGTCAAACCAGTTTCCTGTAGCTGTGAGAGTGATCAATTATCAGAATTATTGGTAAAAAATAGAAGGCCGAAAAGTCATTGTGTCCCCTGGAGGCTTGGATTGGTACTGCATCTGCCTTTTTTTCTCAGGTTCATTTGAGTTTTGGACTTAGTTTTAGGTTAAAAACCCTTGTGGTTGGTCTGCATACAGCTTCATTCTTCCTCCATCCCAGCATTGATTCAAGAGCTGAATAAGATAAACAACTATGATCTAGAACAGTGGAACTGCTTAGGCTTTAAGCTCTGGGGCCTCTGGAAGTAAATAATTCCTGTCGCCACGAGGCTGTTTATGCACACACAAAATAACCAGAGAGGCCATTTTATCTCTGCATGATTAAGATTTCTGCTCCCTGCAGGCCTGCAGAACACAGAGGATGTTCAACCTGCAGCCAGAGGCAGGAAAAGACAGCCCAGCTCCCCCTCTGCTGACCTCACAGTCTCCAGTCGATACTCAGGGCTGTCCACCAGAGCACACAGACTCTCCTCAGCTGGTTTTCCCAGGTAGTTTCCACCCAGGTCCAGTTCCACTAGGTGGGAGGGGTTTGACTTCAGGGCTGAGACCAGAGACCAGCAGCTGATCCCAGACAAGCTGGACCCCCGCAGTCTGGGGAGCGCAAAGGACAATCTGGGTCCAATCACATTCAGAGTAAAGCTAGTAAGACAGATGTTGCACACAGATGTGATTGTGGGTCCAATTACAT